CGGTCCATTCTTTGCCTTGTGAGAACCTCTTGCTTTTGTTGAGCTGTGTTTTCTTTGTGACGTTACCCAGGTCACAGTACTGCGTCACATTCCATGTGAGGGGCTCGTTTCTGGTAATAATTCTCCCAGACTCTAGGTGTGCCCAAAAGTCTTCATCTTGCTTGCCTTGACCTCTTCCCCTGTGTGCTGCCATTTGCCGACTTGCTTCTTGACAAACCACTTGCATGCTGCCATGCCCTTGTCAAGCTTGGAGTACTGCTCGTAGGCTTCTTTGTCTTCAGGGTTGTTGCTCAGGTGTGTCTTGTACTGCCCGTGCATCCTTGAGTTTTCCTCTGGTGTCATTGCCTTTTTCAAGGATTCAGCTGCCTCATCTGGGGTTTCACATTGCTGGCTCAAAGCTGCAACCTTTTCCTTCAGGGACATGCTCTTCAGCTTTGCCAGGTTATGTGTTTTCAGCTTTGGGGCAGGCTTTGCCTTGGAGCTGCTGCTGGCCTTTTTCAAGGCTTTCTGCTGCACCTTTTTCATTGCCTTGGCTACGCTTGCCTTCTTCATAGCTTTCATGGATTTTTCATGGAATTGGCTGCCCTTTTGCAAGGGCTAAATCTGGAGTCTGAACACTAGTTGTTTGAGCCTGGCTGCTGGGACAATGGATGGTGCAGAAGGGCTTGGTGCCTTGTCAGGAAACCTTATGAAACCTTATGAAATCACTGTTTTGTAAGGTTTTGTAAGGTTTTGTAAGGTTTTGTAAGGTTTCATAAGGTTTCATAAGGTTTCATAAGGTTTCATGCGATTGTGAGATTTTGGGCCAACCTGGTTCACCAATGCGAATAGATTTCACCCAAAGAATGTAATCATGACTGTTCCTGGTTTGCAAGTGAAACCAAGAGACGCTCTGCGACACAGATCCCCCCCCCCCCCCCCGCAAAAGCAACCTGTTCCTGAGTGTGTTTGTGGCAGCCCCATGTGTGCCAAGGCCCATGTGTACCACAGCCTTTTGCAAGGCCCCCCCGGTTTGGCTTTAACTTGGGAAACTTTGTTGAAACATTTACATTATTTGAAACATGTTTGCAAGGCGCAGTCATGGCAATCCCCTTTCTGCCTTTTGCAAGGCGCCCTTCATGGCATGGCAGGGCCACCTTTTTTCCTTGCAAGCACTTGTGAATAGGTGAGCCAAAAGCAGCTTTGCTGCAGCTCCTTGCAAGGTAGGCCTGTGTTGCAGCTTGGCCTTTTTCAAGGCAGCTTGGAGGCAGCTTTGCCTTTTTCAAGGCAGCTTGGCCTTTTTCAAGGCAGCTTGACACTGGAGCTTTCAACCCCCCAAGCTTGGTTGAAGGTTGTGAAGGCCCTGGCATGCCACTCATGGGGGCAGTACCTGGCCTTGATTCCCCAGGTTTTGATCCCCCACTTCTCAAGCTCTTCGATGATTTCAGGTTGTCATCGAATGCAAAAGCACAGCCCCAGTGGTGCGCCCAGTGGCACTTGCCACCCCACCCCACCCTCTGGTTGCAGGTGTGTATTGAGGCAGCTTCTGCATGTCTGCCATTGTTCGGTCCTCCCAGGCTTTGCCTACAAAGCTGAGGATGAACACCTCATAGCCCTCAGCCAGGAGGCTGTCCAGCGCAGCCAGGTTGGCCTTGCTGACTTGGTTGTGGACTTCCAGGCAGTTGCCCTTTTGCAAGGGCTTTGGAGGGAGCGGAGGCTTCAACACAGGTGTGCCCTTTTTCAAGGGCTGTGCAGGCGTGGGCTGGCCTTGGGCTTTCTCCTTTTGCAAGGAGGTTGCAGGCTTGCGCGCTATATCTGCCCAGGAATCCTGCGAGCTCCCCTGTGCATCTGCATGAGGCTGCGCTGGGGTGCCTGCAGCCTTGCTCATCAGGCCCTTGCTGAGGCTGGCAGTGCTGGTGGTGCCGGTGCTGCTGCTGCTGCTGCTGCAGCTTGGCTTAGGCTGGTCATCCAGGTCCAGCTTGGGCTTCTTGTGCTGGTGCTCTTTGGCTTTTTTGCTGCCGAACTTTGGCTGTGCAGGAGGGGCCAAGGGCTCCTCCTTCACCATGGCCTGGGCCTGAACAGCATCCAGAGCTTTTGCAAGCAACTTTGACCTTGGTGGCTGTGGAGGCTGCTTGGTGCCTTCAAGCCATGCCTGAGCCTTGCCCTTTTGCAAGGGCTTGGCGGGTGGGGGTGGGGGTGGCGGGGGCTGCACAGGTTGAGCCTTTTTCAAGGCTGGTGCTGCCTTGCTTCCTGCTGCAGAGGCAGCAGGCTCTGCTGGGGTTGCCTTGCTTGATGCTGCAGGGGCAACAGGCTCTGCTGAGGCTGGCTGCTGGGCTTGGGGGGCCTTTGGCTTTGCCCTTCTTTCTTGCCTGGCCCGACTTGTTGTGCCACTGCCAGCTCTTCTCCATTTGTTGTTGTACCCTGCATCTGGCATTGCTGGCTGGGCTCCAAAGCCTTTTTCAAGGCTTGCCTGGGCACCTTTTACAAGGTGTGTGCAAACACAAAATGCTCTTGACGAGCATGCAGGTTGTGGTAGCTTGAGGCTCAAACAGCTTCAGAGGGAACATGCCAATGCCATGCAGAAACACCCCCTCGAACAAAAACACAGAAAACATGTTGTGAGCAAGGGGAGCCTCATTTTTAGTTGTGGTGGTTTGGGGGGGGGGAGGGGGGGCGGCTTGCTTAACTTGACCAACACACCTGTTCTAAACCCAACACCATACCCCAAGCAAACTACATGGGCACAACAAGCTAGGACAACCATTTTCATTTGATTTGGCAGATAGCAGCAATGCCTTTTTTCCACAAGACTCTCTTTGTGCTTTGCTTTGTCAAGCATGGACAGTTGCCTTTTGCAAGGCACTTGCAGGGCATCCTCCAGAACAAAGTGAAACAGTCCTTTTGCAAAAAAAGTGCAAACTGTCCTTTTGCAAGGAAGTGTACAATAAAGATGCAGTGCACCTTTTGCAAGGGCTATGGCTGTGGCATGGTGCCTAGGTATATGCTTTGCACAGCTTTTCTCTGAGTTCCAGAGCTTCATCTTTTGTCAGACTTTGCCCTTGCAACTCCTTGTGTATCAGGTCGATGACTTTGAGGTATTGGCTGCTCCAGCTGGCTTTGACTTCCACAATAAGCTTCAAAGGGTTTTTGCCCTTTGTTACCCTTAGTTTGGCCCAGGCCTGCCTTTTGCAAGGCTTAGCTTTGCCTTTGGCTGCAGGTTTCTTGGTTGGGTGCTTGCTGGCCCCAGCCTTTTTTGCAACCTTCTTCATGCTAGGCTTGGTTTTTTTCTCTTTAGCTTTGGCTCTTCTTTTTGGCTCTGGGCTTTCATCAGTGAACCCCATTGCCTTTTGCAAGGCTGCATTGCCATCTGCCAAGGCTGACAAGGCTGGTGGGCTGCTATCTTTGGAGCAGTGGGAGCCAAGCCTCCTTTTCCTGAATGGGTTCTGCAGGCTTTGGCTTTCGGCGTCAGCATTAGGCTCAGGTGTCTTCAACATGGCTGGGTAGCCCTGGGAGTCCAAGGTTATGTCACTGCAGTTTCTTTTCAACTCTCTGCACTGGGAGGTTTGGCTGCCTGAGCTGCTGGCCTTTTGCAAGGCTCCAGGGTTTGCCTTTTCCAAGGCTTGTGAGGGCTGGTTTGCCCTGCCTTTTGCAAGGCTGCATTGTGCTTTTCGTTTTCCTGAAAGCTGACCATGGCAACAATATCTTGCAGGGTTTTCAGCTGGGCACTGGTTAGCTTGGCAGCACAGACCCTCATATGCTCTGGTTCCCTGGCAAGCCTCCTTACATGGGATAGCACACATGTTACCCTTTCTGCCTTTATGTTGCACCAGGCCTGGCCATTGAACTTGGTGTTTAGCTCCAAGTTGGTTGTCAGTAGGCTCAGCAAAGCCTGCCTGAGGGCTTCTACAAGGTCAGCCACTTTCACCAGGCCTGAGGGGTCTACAGCCCCTGTCTTGGACACAAGCTCATAAGGACCCAAGTCCTGCACAGCATGCTCATTGTTTTTCAGCACCCTGAGCATTAAACCAGGGTCCATGTGTGGCTTTGCAAAATTCCTTGCCCCTCCTTTATGGGACATATATGGGTGCCTTTTGCAAGGCTATTCTGGCACTGTGCCTTTTGCAAGGCCTTCCCTCTGAACAGGTTTGAGCTGAAAAGAGCTACAGTACAAAGTGCTTCTGCTCAGCCACAACAAGCATCCGAAGACAACATCCCAGCGTCAAACCATTGTTCATAACACCCTTGCCCAAAAAATAGCGTGTCAACCAAGCCCAACGCCATATGATATGTTTCCTCCACCCCTCCCAGGATTTGTTTCCAGTATATCTAAGCATTTTGTCAGGCCCATTTGAGGTTTCAATTTCAATATTTTTCAGGCTCATTTGAAGCTTCAATTTCAATATTGCTGAAGCCCATGTGAAGATTCAATTTCAATATTTTTGAGGCCCGTTTGAAGCTTCAATTTCAATATTGTTGAAGCCCATGTGAAGATTCAATTTCAATATTTTTGAGGCCCGTTTGAAGCTTCAATTTCAATATTTAGATCATGCAAAAACAGTCCAAAAGCTCAAAAAAAAACAATATTCAAAATGCATTTGGGTATTGAAATTTTCAATATTTCAATATCAATATTTTTTCTGCCAAAGTATTGATCCTATTCAATATCCGATGCTCAGGGTATGTCTCTGTGCTCAATGACTCTCATGATGATGATGATGACTCTGCGCAATGACTCTGATGATGATAACTCTTTGCAATGACTCTCAAGATGATAACTCCCGTGAACCCAACGGAAGAACCCTTCGCCATGCTTTCGGGAGAAAAAAGCAAAACACCGATTTACACAAACAAGTTACTGCACGCCTCGCAACATGCCCAGAGATTCCCAGCCAAGCAACCTCCCTTTGTTTGGCGGTTTGGATTGACGACAGGGAGGTTGGGGGGTGCATTTGCCCTCTGACGCCAAGCCCCAAACTCCACTGCCTAGGAAAGTCCGGGCCCGCTGGCTTGGACCAAGGCTCTTCGCTATCCTCGCTGTCGCTGTCCGTCTTTGATCCCCACATGGCTTTCCTCCTCCGGGCGCGAAGCTCCTGTGCGGGAGGCGCGAACATGATAACTCAGCCCTTGCTTTGCGGATGCGACTCACCAGGGACCCCCTCACGAGTGCGAACACGTTTTGTTGTAAACCCAGAAAAGCTGGTGGAATTCATTTGTCCAAATCCGTCTTCGTGACATCGACAGCTGGACAGCCGTCAAAACAACCACACTAACCGGAAATAACTAGGTGTTGATCGTTCGAAGGACAAGTGGGCGGAAAGCGGGAACAACCGCCCTCCGCCAGAAAACAAGTCTGAAAAATGACACGTCGGAACCACCAAAGTTAGTTCAAACCCAGAAGCTGTGCAAAGCGTCCGCGAAACACAAACAACCAATTACATGTCACAAGTGTAAGTGCGCTTGAGGGTGGTTGAAGACGAGTCGCTTCCTATGATAATTTTCGGGGCAGAGAAGGGGTCAAAGAAAGGCGGCGGCGGGGTCCCTGTTTTCAGCAACCAGCATTTTACGCGTGGGCAGCACCTTGTATGGTCTCACTATGACTCCCACTAAACCAGACAATAAGATAAATGAGTTTCAAAACTATTCTAATCAACAAGCAACTTTTTTGGGACCCCCTTTTGTTTCAACCACCCCGAAGGCTCCACGGCTCCGAAGGTCAACAGGAAGCAAAGGATGATGGTCCCGAGGCAGCAGAAGAAGACGATCCAAAAGTCCCTGCAGCAACAACATCGGGCACCCCCGAAAATCCTGCCAGCCCCAAGTTGAAGCAGAATTTAGTGGATTCCCCCCCCCTGGTCAAAATAAGGAAGTCTCCTATCTTGCGTGGGGACACCCCCGCTACTCATCACGGGAATAGCAACCCTGTGTTTCCCAAGGTTGGGGTTAAAAAAGGGGGACACCACGCCACATGCAGAGGTCGCATGGGGTAGCTTGCCACAGAGATCCAATCATCTGAGCCCTTCAAATGAAAGGGAGTTATGCCCCATGGCAAGGCACCACGGTTTGCAAGGAGCCTGGACAGCGGGGCTTGAGGCTGACCAGTGCGACATGGCAGCCAGAATTGGTTCCCATGTCGAACTGTGCAAACTCCTCGCTTCCTATGTTTGCCCCAGGGCCCGGCACGAATGACAACCGGCAAATGCGTCCCAGTATGCGACAACTGCTTGGACTTCTGCGGCCTTCTGCGAGATAGTAGATGCTAGTAGGTTCATGTAGCTGGGTTCGGTTTCTTCTTCTTGGGAGGCGGCCCACGATTTCCAACAGGACAAGGGGATCCTTCTAAAATGTTTGTTCTGAAGTGAGTGACTGGCTTTTGTGAAGGGAAACGGCTGGAAAACAAAATCTTGAAAGCGGGCTCTCTTATGCATGTGTGTGAATCCCCATCCTGTGCAGTCAAATGGCCCCCCTAATAATTGTCATCTCCAGGATGAATACTCACATAGTCCGACCCTAGCTCAATATAAATCTGCAAGCGCTGGGGAATCGCGCTCCCCGCCGTTGATGTCTGCGCTTGTGTGTGTGTGTGCGTGCGTGCATGTGCGTGGGTGGGTGGGTGGGGGTGTGGGTGTGTGTGGGTGTGTGTGGGTGTGTGTGGGTGTGTGTGGGTGTGTGTGGGTGTGTGTGGGTGTGTGTGGGTGTGTGTGGGTGTGTGTGTGTGTGGGTTTTTGTTTGTGCGTTTGTGTGTGTGTGTGTTTTTGTTTGTGCGTTTGTGTGTGTGTGTGTGTGTGTGTGTGTGTGTGTGTGTGTGTGTGTGTGTGTGTGTGTGTGGTGTGTGTGTGTGTGTGTTGTGTGTGTGTGTGTGTGTGTGTGTGTGTGTGTGTGTGTGTGTGTGTGTGTGTGTGTGTGTGTGTGTGTGTGTGTGTGTGTGTGTGTGTGTGTGTGTGTGTGTGTGTGTGTGTGTGTGTTTGAGTGTGTGTGTGTGTGTGTGAGTGTGTGTGTGTGTGTGTGTGTGTGTGTGTGTGTGTGTGTGTGTGTGTGTGTGTGTGTGTGTGTGTGTGTGTGTGTTTGTTTGTGTTTTTTTGTGTGTGTGTGTGTGTGTGTGTGTGTGTGTGTGTGTGTGTGTGTGTGTGTGTGTGTGTGTGTGTGTGTGTGTGTGTGTGTGTGTGTGTGTGTGTGTGTGTGTGTGTGTGTGTGTGTGTTTGGGTGTGTTGATGTGTGTGTGTGTGTGTGTGTGTGTGTGTGTGTGTGTGTGTGTGTGTGTGTGTGTGTGTGTGTGTGTGTGTGTGTGTGTGTTAAAACCTTTAGAAATTTTCCTGAGTAGGGGAGTGCGGCATGACTGAGGGACCGCACTCAACGAAGCTACCTCAGTCATGGGATATCGGATCTGATCAATCCGACGTACCTGCCTATTTCTTGAACCTCTTTCCTGATTCCTTTTGCGGTTTTTGCCTGTTGCTGTTGCTTCCTGTTCGGTGTCGATGTTGTGACCTGTCGATTTGCATTTGCATTCAAGCACTTTTACTGACTGCGGTTTTCATCTCGGCTAGTGAAGCCTCTCGAGATAAGTGTGTATACCCACGGCCTGTCCGACATGGCGCTGTGGGCGGACTCGCCATATGCGGGAGCCCCCTGCGAGGGGATGACGTTCAAAAGTTCACGTTCAGTTCAACCTCGCATTGCGCTGCCTGCCTTTGAACAAGGCAGCTCTCATGAGGTATCAGGCTCCGCAGCTTCATTTGCATTGCACTGCCTGCACTGCCTGCCTTTTGAACAAGGCAGCACTCACAAGGTTTCAGGCTCCGGAAGCTTCATGCGCAAGTGACAAGCCGGTCAGATACCGACTTTGCAGTTCATCGGTTCACGCGCTGCGCCGACTCAGATCAGTTCAGTTCACGTTCATGCGATGTTTTTGATTTCCTTTGATTTTGCTTTGTTTTGACTGTGCTGCTTTTTGATTTGCTTTGTTTTGACCTGATGCCTTTGATTTGCTTTGTTCTGACTTGATGTGATACCTTGTTTTGACATGAATTGGATCGACAAGGCAGCACTTTTGAGGTCCAGGTCTTGACTGAATCATGAATTGGATTGACAAGGCAGCATTTTCAAGGTCCAGGTCTTGACTGAATCAAGCCGTAGTCGTGTTTGTTTCCCCTTTTCCAACCCTCTCTCTCCCTTTTGAGATGGCTGGACACCAGCTCTATGACATGATGCATTCGCGCCTGCAAAGCATCGCGACCGGCACCATGTCCGGCACACCAGGCAGTGCTGGGCCGAATCTACAGCTGTCACCCCAGATGATGCAGCCCACGAGCCCAGTGCCTTCGCCCTCCCAAAGGCCACGACCTTGGTACCGTTTTCCATGGTGCCCTATGGTGACCTTCCGAACTTTGGCAACCCGATGTCCATGTTGCCCCATGGCGGCCTTCCGAACTTTGGAAACGCGACATCCGGCATCAGGCTTCACGGCTCAGAGCAGCATGACATCTTCGTTGCCCGAGCCTCAGTCGGCCCGCGCCGCCGCTGCAGCTGCTACGGCTCCCGCAGCCGCTTCCTCGACCAACCCGACTCCCACTGACACCCAACCCCCGCCCCACTACCGCGGATCCCGTTCCTGCCGCAGACGGCGCCGCCACTCACACTCCCGCACCAGTCACCACCGGGCACATGACAAGTCGCCACCCGGGAGATCTCACCACACCCCCATTTCCCCCGCCCACGCTCCCCTCGGCGCAGGTCCCCCCAACGACATTCCCCTGCGCCCAAAGACCCGCAGCGAGCTCCGGACACCCACGCCTCCCACGGCTCCAATTCCTGGCACTCTTCCGGAGGGAAACCGACAAGTCTCAAAAGTCCTCCTCACACCGGCGGAAAATCGTGGGGACACGACACAGCTGGGGCAAGCACAGCCACAGCACCAGCAACACAGGCAACTGGAGCAATCAGGGCAAGCTACAGTCCTGGCAACAGCAGCAGTCATGGCAGCAGCCGCGCTCCTCATCCTGAGCCGGCCTTTCCCTGCACCTGCCGCAGCGCGCCCCACACCCCCTCCCAACCCGGCTCCTTCCCCCAACCCCCGCACCCCTTGGATGGCACCGAGGACCAAGACCCACTGAGCCCATCACATCCCGACAGCCAGTGGCTCGATCTATGGCGAAGCGTCATGGACACAACCAAGACTGATCCACTGCAAATTCCCACACCTAGGGAGTTGGGGGAGCTGGACCCGCTCCCAGCCTTGGACGGAACGAACCAAGGCCTTTTTGATGAACCTGGACCCTGCCTTGCCACCTTTGCACACAGACCTCCGAGTGCTGGGAACTGCGCACCATGGACATGACCGACCCCATTCCATTTGAAGCCAGCTTCCACCACCTCCTTGGACGAGAATCGCAAGGCATGGTGTTCGCAACTTCTTGTTTCCCCCGACCACATCCGTGGCCGGTCGCTGGCGGGGACCCGGAAACCGGGTCCGGCATCGCTTCCCACCATGCTGTCATGTTTGTGCACGGCACGACCCCAGATCGGGTGCGCCGCATGTCCTACGAGAACCAGATCCGGCCTGCTGCATGGAGGCCTGGGAACCATGACTATCCGAGCTTTGGATTCTATGCTCAGGCCACTCTCACGGCCTGCAACCCCGACACGTTAAGCCAGCTTTTGCAGAACTTCACCATTGGAAAGTCTGAGTCCGGGGGAAGCCACGAGGACCAGCGCAACGCACGGCGACACTTTGCATGCCGCCGAGGCAAGGAATGGTGCCTTCACTCCGGGTATGCCATGCTGGGAAGCATCGCGCTGCAGCGCCCGGCCTAGCAGGGTGCGGACCGTAACGTATTCCATGTGACCAGGGGAAGGACTGATGCGCGGTTTGTTCGCTTTGTTGTTTTTGTGTGATTGTTTTTTCCCCGTTCAACCCTTCCTTTTGGTCCTCTTTTGCAGGCCTTCGGTTCGAACGTGGTCCCCTTTTCCTCCTGCATTCTCATGGCTTTCCAACCCCCTCGGGGTTTGTTACCGAAGCTCCAAAGGCAGAACTATCCCCAGCAGCCTTCGCCCGCTGCAACCAACCACCATGGTGGCATGTGCGGCAACACTATGGCCGGAGCCCCGTGCGGAGCCCCGTCGGGACCTTCCTACGGATGCTCCTCTACGACCTGGACATCACCTACTACATCCCAACCCCCTGCCAACTCCACGGCCAGTCTATTTCCGACTTCCACCACCACCCCTCGGCCCCCGTCCCCCCTTTCCCCGGCTTTCTCCCCCCTCCTCCCCTCTCCCTCCACCCTTCCCCCCCCCCCGCTCGCACCACCGACGGCTCCCCTTCCACCCCGGCCCCCCTCGCCCACGATGGCACCCCAGCGGCTCCTCCCCCCCCCCCGCCCCCCCACCTGGAAGGAGCCCCGCGACTTGCCAACCCCCTCCCCACGTTTGCCAATGGCTCACCAGCAACTTCCCACCCGAGACATCCGACACCAAAGTCCAGCGATGGATCACTTCGCCACCGTTTGGCGAAAGCGTCGCAGACCACGACCACCCGTCGCGCTGCAACAGGCTTTTCTGGCCAAGCGCTTGGACTTCTGAACAACCGCCTGGATTTGTGGCGACTTTTGGACGACCTCGGCAGCAACACCCTACATACGGAGCAGGAACTTCCCACACGCTGCCTTGTGCATCCTCCACCGCATCGCCACACACTTACCTGAACCACACCATCAGGCAAGCATCTCTGCCGTACGGTCCAACCTACGCTTTCGGGGCCTAATTCCACCAGGCCCATCCAGACCGATGCTCGTGCCATTTTCGCACATCCCACTTTCCGGACTTTGCTTTTAGCCCAACTCCGCGAGTTCGTCAGATCCACCACCCGCAGCGCTCTGCCTTTTCATGTGGCGCAACAACGCATCGTTTTCAAGGCACACCGGATGCTATCCAGTGCCTTGTTTTCACACCTCCAGGCAGCTCAAGCCTGGAGCCTTGGCGAGCTCTCATGCACATGGACCGGCCTCGCTGAATGACACCCATCCCTCCCGAAGCATGAGGGACACCTTCTTCTTCTTTCCGACTCTGACTCCCACGAGTTGTTTGACCCCGACACAGTCAGCATGCTCTCTGGCTCGATGCGCAACTCTTCCTTTCCTCCGCGCGGGATTTTGATGAATCGCCTGATTCAGGCTTTCCACCACTGGGCCAGGACCAACAACCTGCCCCTTCTCGATCCATCAGTCCTCTCCACTATTGTCGAATTCCACTTCGACCTACACTTTCCACAAGCTACCCTTGGCATGCAGATCTTTTCTGTCGGCTTCCGTTCCTTCAGGCAAACACGCGGGCCGATGGGATCCCCCGCATCTCCTGCACTATGCCTGATGGTGATTGCAATCGTCAAGCAAATCTGGGCCAACACCCATCCTACTTCGGGACCTCGCTCTTTTGAGGACACCCTCCTGCTCCGCTATGTGGACAACAGGCTCGTGGTCGCAACCCCCAAGTGGTTTTCGACTCCGGCAGCCCACATCGTGTGTGATGAACATTTCTACGGAGGAGACATCCTTCTGGAAACAGAGACCGCCCTGGATTTCTTGGGTTTTTCGACTGGACTTTGAGCGCGGCACCATCTCTTTCATCCCTTCGTACGAGAAGCACAACATGCTGTCCATTAAGTCAGCCGCACCAATGCTGCACAAGGAAGCTGGATATCACTCCAGACGTGCGCTGATCAGCCGGGTTTCCTTTCCTGAGTTTCAGAGAGATCACGATCTCGCAGTGTTGATGAAGTTGTACCACCAACACGGTTTCACCTTTCAGGAAGGGGAAACGCGCCGGCCTTCTCTTTCGCAATTGTTTGCGGCAGGACCCACTTTTTACTCTTGATTCTCACATGACCTGTTTCCAAGCTGCAGCCGTTTGACACACAATCGTTTGCGACCATGGATCTTGACGCAGCACGCCAGCTGCTCCAAGACTTTGAACTCATCCTCGGCATTGCCCAGCAAGGCATCGCCACCATTCGCGAGTTCACTAAGAGTCCGGACTTCGCGCCTGAAGCCCCATCGACTCTCGCCGTGGAGGACTTAACCAATTCACCGCCAACACCTCTTCTCCCCCCTCCCGAAGATCACGGTGAACAATTTCCCAAAGATCACGGTGAACAATTTCCCGACCATTGGGCTCCACCTCCTCCTCCTGACAAGAAACGAGCTCGTCGCGCTCGTGACACGAACTCCTCACGCTCTATGGCATCCAGGCCTACTCATGGACAACGCGCACCTTCCCCATCGACCGGGACTGACGCCGCTACTGAGGCTGAATTCGAAACCCCGCAGCCCTGCACTGAGGAGGAGATTGATCCCCTCCGTTCGCTCAAGACCAATACCATGCATGGTTTGTCATCGCCACGTGGCTATCAAGCACGGTTGAGGATTGCAAGACTCAACGGGCCTTGCACGAATGAGTGCGCCCCGTCCGGGGCCTTGTGTGTGTGAACCGTCCTGGAACACGGACGTTAAACCCTTCGGAGCTTTTTTTGAGCAGGGGGCCAGCGGCCATCAAGCAAACGCTGGCCAATGAAGCTATGCTTGATGGTGGATGCACGGATTGATCACCCGTGTGTACCTGCCGTTCCTTCTCTTTTCCTGACTGTTTTTTCTGACTGTTTTTTCTGTCCTGTTCACTGTTGCTTCCTGGTTTCTGTTCTGCATTGCGACCTGTCAAGCAATTTCAGCAGTTGCAGGTTTTTCCAGCGTTTTCATCTCGGCTAGTGAAGCCTCTCGAGATAAGTGTG